GGAAGGGAGGGGGTACGCCGTCACTGCCGGAGGGAAGGGAGGTACGCGTCACTGCCGGCGGGGAGGGAGGTGCCCCGTCACTGCCGGAGGGGAGGGGGAGGTACCCCGTCATTCGCCGGCGGGAGGGAGGTACGCCGTCACTGCCGGCGGAGAGGGAGGTACCCCGTCACTGCCGGAGGGGAGGAGGTACGCGTCACTGCGGGCGGGGAGGGAGGTACGCCGTCACTGCCGGCGAGGAGGGAGGTACGCGTCACTGCCGGAGGAGAGGGAGGTACGCCGTCACTGCCGGCGGGGAGGGAGATACGCGTCACTGCCGGAGGGGAGGGAGGTACGCGTCACTGTCGGACGGGGGGTAGGGGGGGTACGCGTCATTGCCGGCGGGAAGGGAGGTACGCGGTCACTGCCGGCGGGAGGGAGGCACGCCGTCACTGCCGGAGGGGAGGGGGGGGGGTACGCGTCATTGCCGGCGGGAAGGGAGGTACGCCGTCACTGCCGGCGGGGAGGGAGACGCGCCGTCACTGCCGGCGGGGAGGGGGTACCCCGTCACCACCGGCGGGGAAGAAGGTACGCCGTCACTGCAAGCGGGAGAGAGGTACGCCGCCACTACGGGCGGGGAAGGAGGTACGCGACCATCGGGCGAGTAGGGAGGTACGCTGTCGCTGCCGACGGGCGCGGGTGGAAAGTTTCCACTCTGGAGAGGAGGAGGAGGAGAGGTGCTCCAGGTCCGGAGGTAGGCTCTTAGGAATATGTGATGGCAAGGCGATGTGCCCCGGGCGGGGATGATAAATCACGAGAAAGCTGTCGAAATGCGGAGCATGCGGTGGCGAGAGAAATTCGGGTGATTATGAAGGAGACCGCGACAGTGAAAGGAGGTAGAGTTCACAGAAGCAGCGGCGGTTACTCAAAGAGTTAAGCCAGAATGCCACCTTTTGGAATGGTTATTTGTTCATTAAGGGCGTAAGCGATCCACAGACGTAATACCGACTAGGAAAACAGCACAATAAAACCCACATGGAACGAGAATCGCGGTTATAGAAGGAGCAAGGAATGGAAAGTCAGGGAAAGACGTCTTCCCGGCGGGAAAGCGGGTGTCAGTCCGCCTGGCGGTAAGCTCGGAAAGACTCTACGACGTCAATGCGGCGGAAATTTTAATGATAGGGAAATGAAAAATGGCACAATCGGGGCGACAGCTCAGCCAGCAGCAGGGATTTACGGCGGAATGAGGCTCGGCGACCAGCTATTCAGCAGGCTGCTTGTGGCCCGCGCGGTGGTGGAGAAGTTCGAGTGTGTTGTCGATTGAAAACACCTGACGGCGAGCATTGTGTGAGCAGGCGGGCTGAGAGGTGCTGTGGACGGCCCAGCACCCAAAACCTCAAGTTCGCTCCCCTGTTACACGGCTCGGTGAACTTCTAACAGCTCGGTCGTCGTTTGATGAGGCTGCCGGGCCCCGCCTGGGAAGTACGCGGCTTTTTACCGTGTTGGTCCGTAAATTAGGGATGTTTAGTCCGTTAACGAACCCCTTTCTCGCCGTAATGTGCTGTTAGCGCCATAACGAGATGCACTGGGAAGCACAAATCTTTTGAATATCAGCGGTCTGTGTATGGGAGGTGTCTTGAAATTTACGTGGCGGAAGGTAGTGTTGTGATGTTAGCTTTAATTGTGGAAACAAATGTCATAATATGCACCGCGTATAGCGTGCTCTGCCCCGACAATTCAACTCCAGTGAGTCTAGAAGTTGTGCTCAAACATCCATTGAAACTAAAGTAGAAAAAGCTGTAGAAACGGTGGCAAACGCTGGGCGCTGGAATGCGGTCATCCGCAAGCCCTGTGCACTCGTATCGTACGTCTCCCTGACCATCGCATCGTACGTCTCCCTTATCATCGTCTCGCACGTCTCCCTTATCATCGTCTCTCACGCCTCCCTTATCATCGTCTCGCACGCCTCCCTACCATCGTCTCGCACGCCTCCCTTACCATCGTCTCGCACGCCTCCCTTACCATCGTCTCGCACGCCTCCCTAACCATCGTCTCGCACGCCTCCCTAACCATCGTCTCGTACACCTCCCCAACCATCGTCTCGCACGCCTCCCTAACCATCGTCTCGTACACCTCCCCAACCATCGTCTCGCACGCCTCCCTGACCATCGTCTCGCGCGTCTCCCTTACCATCGTCCCGCACGCCTCCCTTACCATCGTATCGTGCGTCTCCCTTACCATCGTATCGTGCGTCTCCCTTACCATCGTCTCGCACGCATCCCTGACCATCGTCTCGCAAGTCTCCCTCACCATCGTCTCGCACGTCTCCCTTACCATCGTCTCGCACGTCTCCCCTACCATCTTTTCGCACGCCTCCCCAACCATCGTCTCGCACGTCTTCCTGATCATCGTCTCGCACGCCTCCCTAACCATCGTCTCGCACGCCTCCCGTACCATCGTCTCGCGCGCCTCCCCAACCATCGTCTCGCACGCCTCCCTGACCATTGTCTCGCACGCCTCCCTAACCATCGTCTCGCACGTATCAGTAACCATCGTCCCGCCATGATCTCCAGTCCGGTGTCAGGCATCGCACCGGTTGATTAGTGCGCAATAGCTGATGTCTGTATGGGTAGGCCAGTGTTTCCCAGCGAGGCGTATGTGCTGAATACCGTTGCCATATTTACTCATTTATTGTTAAACATATCGCGGACGACAGGTTTACGATGCCCAGTTGCAGCTCAAGTCAGGGAGTTGGTACTTGACAGCCGATAGTCGACGACGAAACCCAAATAATGTACCCAGTTAGCTTATAATTAATAAAGTTTGTTAATTACACACCTGAAGATCTTTACGTGATTCGCACTATACTAATGCGATTTAAGTGTGTGAGTATAAAGCTCAATACTCTAAACTGACGGCTGTTTCATGAATGCCTCGGCATGGGATCTGCAAGCGAGTATGTGCGCGATATCCAGAACGGAAAGTTAGTGATGCGCTGGGTACGTACAAACAAATCCTGTATGATTGTATGAATCAAGGCAAACATCATGTTGAGTGAAAGCTGGGGCTGCATGACCCGCGCTGACCTGCTGCATATCTTCCACGAATGTAATTCATCTGTGACGATGACATTTGAGTTTGCTAATCTCGTAAAAATGCCATCACTGCAACTGCAACAAAAATGCATCAATGCATCAACTGCTGCAGGGTATGTTAACAAACCAGGCAGCGCCCGCAGACTATGACTATGCTCTAGCCTCTCCCGAAGCTCAGTTTCTCGTCTTGGTTTGTGTTCGTCTGCAAACACGATAGTACTTGACGCCGGCCACTTCTCCCAGTGCCCCAGCTGCCTGCCACAGGACTGTAACGATCTCCATCGTCGCAGGTGCCTCAGCCAAGGCCTGGTCAGTGCGTCAACAACAGCAAGACGTTGC